GCCAGTCCTACCTTTCAGAAAGTGGTTGATTTTCTGTTTCTAGAATTGCTGTTCTTCTTCTCTTCGATCTCCCATTGGATTTGTAGGTGTTTGCAATCTTTAGATAAGCTCTCTAGCTGATCTCCCGCTACCTGAAGTAGTCTCAGCCTGCTACTTCTCTACCATCTTATTTCTCCCTATCGAGAACCTGACTATATTATCTGGGTTAATCAGCGAAGTTAAATTATTTGATTAAAATAGGGCTACGTATCATACTCTCATGGAGTGTGGTTTTAAAATATAAATTCCCATATAGACTTTTAAGGGTAGAACCTTAAAATGAATTTTCCGTGGGTGTTTGAGATGATTCTAATGCATGGCCAGGTTAGGCTCACTACCCACTAAGCCTCGCTGTCTCAGATGATGTTTCTTTGATTCCCTGACTCATCTCTTCTGGAAGCTGGAGGGAAAGGAACCATATTGGTCAGTTGGTCAGACGTTTTGTATAACTTGTAGGAATCTAGCCCATCCTTGCTGATACCTTAATTAGGTCTTCAGTACGGCCATCTGGTCATCAGGTACATGATATGACCAATGAAATTTGTGAACATACTGCTTATTTTGTTTGCTGTTAAGGGAGTTTTTTTGGTCAGAAGCAACATTTTGTGGCAGACAGTGGCAGTGGTCAGGGATCCACGGATAATTTTACTGTACAAAAGAAGCCGGGAAAGCAAGTCTCTAGCTCAATTGTATGTCCAAGTAATAGCAAGTGCCTGGCTAGCCATTTAATAAAAAGGATTCTAAATATCATCCCCTTGCTATCAGGGCTTGGTGGTTGTTCTATATTATGTTGTCGTTTTAAGGGCTGTCTGTGCTGTTGGTGTTTTGGGCATTCAGGAGTGCAGTAGCCAAGAGTCCTTTCTGAAGGGGAGTCTGTGTTGTGAAGTGATATATAACCTCTCTCTATGTCACCAAAGACACTGTTCGAGTCCTTTGAGTAGCACTGAGGCAGCTGGGGAATGAGGTGCTTTGCCATCTACTAAAATGAGTCCCTTTGTCTCCCTGGTCACTGAGTGCCCGCTCTTCATTGCATGGGGCACCCTGTTCTCTTACACACTCAGTGGGTCTAGGCTGCTTTCTTAGACCACCTACCAGCACTTTACTATTCCTCTCATTTCTGTGTCCTTGACCACATTGGTCTGAGAATCTTTATAGAGATTCTGTAATGTAAGATTCTGTAATGTAAGTGGCTGGTCATTTCCATTCCATCAGGACACCCAGGAACTGGGGAAATAGCATACATTTGGGGCTTACAGTCCAACAGAGCTGCTCTCAAGGGACAGGATGAGAAGTCCTTTATATCTCGACCACATAGACCCCCCACCATCACCAGTGGCCCTCAGTGGAGCAGCGAGTACTCAGAGTCCAGCTTGTTAATCCTCAGGCTTTCTGGATATTTCTTCTTTCCAGTGCATAGTCACTCTAGGAAAAGACCCCTGATCCGTGTTGGGAAGACAAGGAGGAAGTGTCACATGTACACAGGAGGTGTTCACAGTTATTATTAGCTTTTTTATTCTCTGCATCCACGGGGCAAGCAAGGATCTGATCCTAGACCAGGAGGTCATACCAAGAAACAGTAATAAAGTGGGGCACCTGGGTGGCTCAGTTGGTTAAGTGTCTGCCTTCTTCTCAGGTCATAGTCCTAGGGTCCTGAACTTGAGCCCAGTGTCTGGCCCCCTGTTCTATGGGGAGCCTGCTTCTCTGTCTCCCTCTGCCCCTGCCCGCAATTTGTGCACATGCTCTCTCTTGCTCTCTCTTTCAAATAAATAAATAAAATCTTAAAAAAAAAATTGCCTGAGAATTGTCATCTCCTTTCAAGGGACTACCGTGGCTATTCAGAACAAGGTAGGAAAAATTTCACCAGACAGGCTTCTGCCCCTGTGGAAAGCTCATTTGGACTCTTCATTTGAACACTAAGCGTTGTTCGAATCCTCCCAAATTTTGCCAGTCCAGTTCTCAGATCTTCAGTGTTCTCCAGACGTTTTCCTAAACCTCACAGAAGAGGGGGCCAGGCAGTCTGTCTTGTCCTTCAGAAGCACACAGGTGTCAACTCTGTTTCTGCTTGTTGGCTCCCATCAGCCTGTGGCCATAAGCAGTAAACTTTTCTAGACTTCTGGTTCTTTCAGACTTGAGCTCATCGTGTCAAATCTTGAGTCTGTCTTTTTCTTTTTAGAACTCTTCAGTACAGTTTTACCCACTCCCCTTGCCTTGTTTTCCTTTTGCGCGTCATACTGTGGCAGGCCTCTGCCCCACACAGCCAACAATCACACCTTCCAAAGCATTTCAGTGATGTCACCATAGGTCATAACTCAAGTCACAGGCTTGCTGCAGAAGCAGAGACCACGGGGATCCCGTGTCCTGTACTGCAGCCAGGTCCTCACTGTCGGAACTCTTGAATGCTGATTTCTGTTGTTCCTTTTAGTCTGCAGAAATTCTCAGTTAATAATGTTTATTGCTAAAGAGATTTCCATTACTATTAAAAATCTCATCTTTTAGCTTTTCAAAGTGTTCATTATCTAAATTCTAATGAGACCATAATTCATTTTATTCTTGTATTTTCTACATTGATGAAATTTTGGGAGTCATTACTGACTTGGGTCAGTTGGTTATGTAGCATAACAATCATTGTAATGCTGTGGTCTCTTGAGCCTTCAGCTTGTGCCCAGCATGCTAGCTGTTCTACCCTTATTGTCTATGTTCTAGACTAATAGGATAATTAATACTGCCGTCATCATTTATTGAGTGTTTATTATGTACTAAGTATAGTTCTAAAGACTTTTATGTCTTTAAACATGAAACTCCTTTTTTACTACAATGCCTGTATATTACTAATAACTCCTAATTACTATTCTGATAACTTTATTACTACAAAAACCCTCTGAGCAGTAGATACTATACTTTTACTCTTCACTGAAAATCACCTCTTTAAGATGATAAAGTAACCTGTCCAAAATTATACAGTACATGTTGAATCTGCGATTTGAAAGCAGAACTCCAAACAAAGTCTGAGTTCTTCCCTAAACTCCATAGTGCCTGTCCCCACTAACCCAGGAAAGGAGCTGGTAACGCCCCTCGCTGTGTGGAGATGAGGACAACAGGCTGGGCTAAGAAGGCCTGCCTGGCTGTTTCCATCTGCGGCAGCAGTGGCAGAGCGCTGCCCTGTGAATCAGTCACAAACTCTCGTGAATGTCCCCAGTGTGATGCCGTATTCCAATAGGTAAACAGTGTTTACGTCAGTAGCTTATGCTTTTCGGAAGTGAACTGTTGAACATAAAATTCGGTTCTGTGAAGTTTAAAACTTCAGCTCTGAAAGAGTATCAGATCAAGGGATGGAAAGTGCTCTGATTAGAATAAATAGTCTGTAGTTGGCCTAAAAGAATCATTCTTCTTATGCGTGACCAAGTGTGAAGGAAATGCAGAGGGTATTATGGTAGCTTATATTCGCTCTCCTTGCTTCAAATGTTTTTCCTTCTTTTCCTTCAGTTTCTGACCTACTTTCTGTAAATGTGAAGGAAACTGGCATATACTCAGTCCTGGCATGTGTTAAAGCAGTGTGCTGGGTGTACGTACGTGATCTCCTTCACCAGGCATTTATGGAAAGTTGGTTTTTTCACTTTTCTCAGTGGTCCTGTATTAATACACTTATGTTAGCACCAACCTGATTTTTCAAATTAAGGGTTGGATTACATTTCTTCAGTCTAAACAAATGCACCTGGTGTCTGGCACGGCTACGCTTTGGGCATATCTGACTCAAAACCCCATGTCCTAGTCATGCTCTAGATGGAGATCTCTCTTCCTTTAAAAGCAATCAGATTAGTGAAGTAACACCAGTTGAAGGCTTAAATGGTGAAATCAAGGGTGCTTGTGCCTCTTTGACCTCTTGGCCTGTGGTGGAATTAAAAGGTGTTGCCAGGAGTTCTAGGGTTCTCCTTCTCATGGGTTTGGTATTTTAGAGAGGCTGGGAAGGTTTCCCTGTTTTGGAAGTCACTGTAGGTGTAGGTACCTACTCATCTTACTCTGTCTGTATGATTTGAATGTTGGAAACAAAGACTTTTAAGAGACCCAGATTTTGTCATTTTCCACTATAAAGAATACTTGTTAGGAGAAAATAATGGACCAAAATCATTTGTCTCTTGCTGACTGGTCTAGGTTTTTTCCCTCCTCTTTTTTCCCCCCTGAATTTCATTATGTAAACAATCAATCAAAAAAAAAAAAACACTTTTTAAAAAAATGTGTATCATAATTTTGTAAAATCCTGTAATAAAATCTTTCATTTATTTTTTTTTTCACTGTTTTATCCTCAGACACAGGGCCTGGTATATAGAAATTTTTTTTGAATGAATATATGAATGAGCAAATGAACATAGAAACGACGAATAATGTTTACCTATTCATTCAGAAGTAGTTGTGGAGTGTCAGCTGTATACCAAGCACTTTTCTAGACAAGGAAAATGAGCGCCAGAGAAGACAATCATGGTTTTTGTTCTGTTGCGATCACCTCCAGTGAGGAAAATTAGATAATAATCAAGTAAACAATAGGTATTTTCAGTAATTTGAAGGTGGGAATGGTTTGTGGCAGCATCACGGATACTCACCGTAACCAGTGTAGAGGGAGCTTAGGAGATGAGCTGGCTGGACCGGGGGTCTGAGCAGCCGCTGGAGGGGTGTCAGGCTGGGGGAGATGGGAGGAGACAAAGCAGCTGGATCATATGGCCAAGGGTCTCTCTCTAGGCTAGAGACGGGAGCTGAGACTTATTCCAATAGAATCTCAAATCCTTGGGTGTTTTCATGGAAGGTGGGCATGGCAGGATCAAATCTGTGTTTTAATCTTTCCTCCTGCGGGTGCTGCTTGCCCTTGAGCAAGCCTTCTGTGACGGCTGCGTGCTGGATCAGCTCTGTGTAGCATTCCTGTGTCTCCTCTTACACAGACACCCTTTCAAGCATGGTTTTTCTTTCTTCAGGAAGAAGAGTTGAGGAAAAGTGGAGAGGCCAAGTACTTTCACCTCAATGATGACCTCCATGTTCTCATTGAAGTCTTCGCTCCACCAGCGGAAGCATATGCCCGGATGGGACACGCACTGGAAGAAATCAAAAAGTTCCTCATTCCTGTTAGTACAGTTTTCCTTGATAGTTAATTTATACTTTAAAAGCTCTTCCTTTATTTTAATCCTTGGTAATTCTTATCAGTAAGTATTATTTGCACAGCACTTTATTTGTTAAAAGTGTCCCTGGGAATTGGCATTTTTCTTCTTTATAAATGAGGCAAGGTATTTTTAAAGAGATTAGATAATACTGGTAAAGGCTATATGGCCAAGAAAGTTGAAGAGCGTAAGCACTAGTTCAGGTTTTGGAACTCACATGTCCTAAGCCTTTTTGTGACACTAAAATCACCTACAAATCCATTGTTCTCCAAAATAAACATACTAGTGCCTTCCATGCAGCAAGTGCTGTGTGTGGTGTTGGACCAGCAGGCATAAATAAAAGACCGAGGCATCCCCTCCAGGGCGATGCAGTATAGGGAAGAGAGAAGCCTAAGCCAGTGATCTCAGTATAGCATGGTCAGCATAACCACAGACATACACATAAGGAGCACAGAGAAGAAAGGCACCATGCTGGCAGTTAGCTGGCTTCTGCCAAGTGTTTCATGATTTGTTTTCTTGTTTATTTTTTGTTTTTGTTTTTAGGACTTTTATTTATTCAAGAGAGTGAGAGATCACAGAGGGGTAGGGAGAAGTAGACTCCCTGCTGAGCAGAGAACCGATACAGGGCTCGGTCCCAGGACCCTTGAGATCATGACCTGAGCCTAAGGCAGAGGCTTAACTGACTGAGCCACCCAGGCGCCCCTTATGCTTTGTTAATAAAACAATTGCTCTTCTGTTTTAACCCTTCCCAGACACTTTGGCATTGCTAAGAATATGAAAACTTAAAGAGAACATACCCATACCTCTATTAGGAAAGTTAATTTAGGTTTTTTATATAATTTACATGTACTAGATTAAAAAAAAAACAAAAAAAACAAAAAACAGAACATTGAACACTTTGGTTCCTTAGACAATTTATTTAGAGAAGCTGTCCCATTGCCAGACAGTTGCCTGAGGTAGGACTGAGTTCAGCAATCCTAGGCTGGTCTAGTGGGTTGACTTACATACACATGTATGTACATACACAGCACATGTATCAGGACTATATTATCTGTGAGGAAAACTGTTGAATTTATAGGGAAAGGGTATTTTCAATCATGATTGCCTTGGAAAAGGCGAGACATGAATTCTGTAAGTTATTTTACTTGGGAGCTTAATTCCCTCAAGCCAATATGAAGATCCATTTATTCATTTAGGTTTTTATTTTGTTTTATTTTTTTAGAGAGGAGGGAGAGAGAGGGTGAGGGAGAGAGAATTTTTTTTAAAGATTTTATTTATTTATTTGACAGAGAGAGACAATGAGAGGGGGAACACTAGCAGAGGGAGTGGGAGAGGGAGAAGCAGGCTCCCCATGGAGCTGGGAGTCTGACGTGGGGCTCAATCCCAGGACCCTGGGATCAGGACCTGAGCTGAAGGCACACACTTACTGACTGAGCCGCCCAGGTGCTTCGAAAGAGAGAATCTTAAGCAGGTTCCAGTCTCACAGGGCTCAGAATCACAACCCTGAGATCGTGACCTGAGCCAGAATCAAGAGTCAGAAGCTTAACCGACTCTGCCAACCAGGTTCCGCTGTTCATTGAGTTTAGAAACAAAGTTTTTAGTACTTTCTATGTGATAGATACATGGGAAGTAATAAAAGACATTCTTTTTTTCTGCCCCTATAGAGCTTATATAATGGGAGGACAGGTAAGAATCAGATGTTCATATAAACGATTATAAGACTGCTACTCTGACAAGACTAAGAAGTTTAATGTCTTAGTGGTCATTCAGTGTGGACTAGGGAGTGCTGACCTAGCCACGTAGGCTCCCACTCCATCCCCTTTACACTTCTCCACCAGGACATGGATCTGACTTCTCTCCCCTTGAATTTGGGCTGACCAGGAGAACTCTGCTTAACCCAGAGTCACAAAAATTTTCTGCTGTGTTTTCTTAATATTTTTAGTATTAGTTCTTTCATTTAAGCCTATGATCAATTTTAGGTTAATTTTTATGTATGGTATGAAGTTAGGATCTGGGTCTGTCTTTTTCTGTGTTGATATCCGGCTGGTTATCCCAGTACCGTATGTTGAAAAGACAATCCTTTTCCTGTTGAACTGCAACACCGTTGTTGAAAATCCACTAAACATAAATGTCTGGATTTGTTTCTGCATTCTCAGTTTGTTCCATTGATTTATATGTCTGTCCTTATGCCAGTGTCATGCTCTTAATTACTTTAGCCTTCTAGCAATTTGGTTTCAAATCCAGGTTGTTGATGCTTTTTTAAAGAAAAAGTACTATCTCAAAATTGTTTTGGCTATTCCGATTCCTATGCATTTCTACATATATTCCGGATTAGCTTGTCAATTTCTGCAAAACAAACAAACAAACAAAAACCTCCAAAGGTTTTGATAGAGGATTGAATCTGTAGCTCAGTTTGGGGATAATTTCCATCTTAACAATACTTAGTTTTCTAGACCATGACTGTGAAGTGTCTACTTAACAGATATTTTTTGTTTCCTTCCACAGTGTTTTATAGTCTTCAAGGTGCCAGTCTTAGACTTCTTTCATTAAATTTATTTCTAAGTATTCTATACTTGTTGATGCTATTGTGAATGGGGCTTTCAAAATTTCATGTTCAGGGGCGCCTGGGTGACTCAGTGGGTTAAAGCCTCTGCCTTCGGCTCAGGTCATGATCTCAGGGTCCTGGGATCAAGCTCCGAGTCGGGCCCTCTGCTCAGCAGGGAGCCCGCTTCCTCCTCTCTCTCTGTCTTCCTCTCTGTCTACTTATGATCTCTCTCTCTGTCAAATAAATAAATAAAATCTTAAAAAAAAAAAATGTCATGTTCAGGGGCACCGGGGTGGTACAGTGTTTAAGCATCTGACTCTTGGTTTCAGCTCAGGTCAGGATATCAGGGTCCTGGGATCGAGCCTCACATCCGGCTTCAGGCTTATGAGGGAGTCTGCTGGAGATTGTCTCCCTCTCCCTCTGCCCCTCCCGCACATGTTCCGTTTAACCCTTCCTCTCAAATAAGTAAACAAATCTTTAAAAAATTTTCATTTTCAGATGGTTACCAGGATATGGAAATGCAGTTGATTTTTATACACTGATATTAAAATACACTGTCTTGTGACCATGTTGGTCTGTTGTTTTGGCTTTTATGGAATCATTAGGATTTTCTACATACAGAATCATGTTATCTGTGGAAAAAGTAAGTTTTGCTTCTTTGTTTGAAATCTTAATGTCTTTAGTTTTTTATTTTTCCCTCATCACACTGACTAAAACTTTCAGTGCATTGTTGAGCAGGAGTGGTGAAGGTGGAACATCTTCGCTTGTTGCTCTTAGTCTTTCACCATTAAGTATGACGTGGGCTGTAAGCTTTCCCTTGCTGCCCTTTACCTTGTGGAGGAAGTTCTCTTCTGTTCCTGGGTGTTGAGAATTTTATCGTGGATGAGTGCTGGATTTTGCCAGTTGTTTTTTCTGCCTATTGAAATGATCATGTGATTTATCTCTCTCTCTCTTTTTTTTGTTTTTTTAAAATAATAGTGTATTGTATTAGTTGGTTTTCAGTTGTTAAGCCAACCTTGCATTCCCAGGTGAAATCCCACTTGGTCATATTACCTGTTGCTAGGATTGATTTGCTAGTAGTTTATTGAGGATCTTTACATCTATAATCATGAGGGATATTGGCTAGTAGTGCAATATTTCCATGACCTTTGTATTAATCTGCACATTTACCATTTCTGGTGCCCTTCGTTACTTTCTGTGGATAGAGTCGCCATATGGTACTACCCCTTTTCAGCCCAAAGGACTTCCTTAGTCTTTCTTGTAACCTTGATCTGCTACCTCCCAAAATTGTTTTGTTTTTCTCAGAAAGTCTTTATTTCACCTGTACCCTAAATGATAGTTTATATAATTCCTGGCTGACAGTTTTTTCTTTCAGGTGGTAGAAGACCAGTCTGCACTTTCTGGCCTTTGTTATTTTTGATGAGAAGAGTCCTTAATTATTTTGTTGTTTGGTACATGATCTGTTACTTTTCTCTTGCTGCTGCCAACATTTTGTCTTTCATTTTCATTAATTTAACTGTAATTGTGTATGCTTATCCTTCTTACTCATTAAGCTTTGTGGATCCATAAGTGTACATTTTTCTTGAAATGTGGAACGTTTTCAGCCATTGTTTCTTTGGGATTTTTTGCCTTTTTCTTTCTCCTCTGCTCCCATCAGTCCTGGAGTCCCCTGACTCGTGTGCTGGTGCGCTTGACGGTGTTTGACACATCTCTGAGGCTCCTTTCTCTTCATCCTTCCTTCTCTGTGTTCCTGACCGGGTAATTTTAATTGGCTTATCTTCAAGTTTGCAGACTCATTCTTTTGCCATCTCAAATCTGTTGTTAAACTCCTATGGTTAAATTTCATTATAGTTGCTGTACTTTCTCTCTCTCTTTTTTTCTTTTTCTTTAAATCTCTCTCTCTCTCTCTTTTTTTCCCCCAACATCTGGACCCTCTCCAAGACAGCTTCTTCATACTGCTCACCTGCTTGCTTGCTTATTTGCTTTCTCTGCATATGGGTCACATTTTCTTGTTTCTTTGCATGCCTCTTAACTTTTCTTTTTTTTGAAAACGCCACACATCAGATAACATATTATAGCACATTTGCATTCAGATTCATTTTAGTCTCCAAGGTTGTTGTTGTGGGTTTTTTTTTCCTTCATTTCTAGTGATTTAGTTGGACTAAATGTGCAGTCTGTCTACTGCATGGTTTATGGCTTGGTTCATTTTTCTCCTCACTTGTACTCTAACCTGGGCCACTGGGTGCGCCCTGGGCGTCAGCATCACTCAGATGTCACCAGAGGTTAATCAGAGGCCATGCTCACATGCACGTGTTGATAAGGATTCCAGCCTCTGCTGATGGAGCTGTGGGGGAGCACTCAGGCTGGTCAGTTGTCACAGCTGCCCTGGTCTTTACTTGTGACCAAGGTCTTGATCCCTGCC